TGTTATAAACTGGGTATAAATATTACACGGGAATCCTACGAACTGATATGTATTTTTCAGTTCTTACAAATAATCTATAAAATAGAAAATTACAATCGAACTGAAAAATAAATTACAACCGAAAAATAAATTAAAAATTAAAACGGAAAGATTTTAGCCGAGGCGAGTAAAGCTCTTTCCGCAAGAAGAATACGCCCCGTGTGGCAGCTAACGGTTCAGGCGTAACTTCCCCAAAGATACAACGGCAAACGTCTCTAAATCTGTAGCACACCAGATTTACGAGCTCCGGCGAACTGAAACGGAATCGAGAATTGAGCACTAAAAATAAAAATATATATAATATTTTTTTTTTTCTCTCCTTCTCTTTTCTTATTCTCACTCTTCCTTTCTTTTTATTTGCTTCTCCTTTCTTTCTCTGCGTGTTTCCTTCTCTTTTTGTGTGTTTCATCAAATAATATGATGTCCCATTATATAGGTGTGAAGAAAGCATAATATCATTGACATTTTGGTTTGTTAGGAAGAATAAAAATATGGTAGATGAGGTGGTTGAGAAGAATAAGCATCAATTTGTTGGGAAGCATCAATTTGTTGGGAAGAATAAGAATAAGCATCAATTTGTTGATCTACTCACAATAAAAATTGTGTCCCAATTTACACTCAATAACAACAGTACCTCTTCTTGTTGGTGTGTGTGCGCGCCTTTTGGCAATGTTGGGCAGGTGTTAGGTGATAGATTGTAGCTCATTGATCTCAAGAGTCTAATAATAATAATAATAATAATAATTAATATGAAAGTAAAATTTGTAGGCCAATATGAAATTATATAAGGATGAAAAAAACACATATGGGTTCGTCTCATTTACCAGTAATAACGAATCGTGATCGAGCATTCACGAGTCGAACACGAATTTAACAAGTTGAAATATAAAAAATTATATAAGACCTTCTTTTTGAGCTGATACGAGTTGACTCGTTAATGAAATAAGCATTAAACGAGTTTGAACTTGACTGATTTATTAATCTATATATCAAGTGACGCTCAAGCATATTAATCGCTTGTTCATTTAAAGCACTTTACTGTGACAAAAGAGAAACCCACAATCTGAAATTTGGTCCGCGAATATCCGAAAAATGTAATAGAAAAAGCAACCAAACAGCGGTTACGCAAAAGAAGAACGAGAAGCGGTTCCACGGTTGGCCTGTGGGTCCCACGAGACTAGATGCAACGCTTCCCAAAGCATTTCGATTACACGTGTCGCGTGATTTGAGGTGCGATATTCTGCGCGCTTTACAAAGGCTCCACCGCATCACCGCCACTAATCCAACCCTTATTGGACCATACCTTTTTTTTAATATTTTTTTCCCATTTTTTACTTATTTTACCTTTAATGAAATCCAAGGGACTGTTTGGATCATTATCATAAAAATTCCTGAAAAAAAAGGAAAAGAGATAGATATCGTTGGGGATTGTTTGGGATTTCTATTCTATAAAACACTTGACTTTGCTTAAATAAATAAATTAACACAATTCAGTCCATGGACAAATTCCTTATGGAATCATCCTTATATTAATGTATCGATATTTTACATTTCTAACATATATTTCAAGTATATATATGCTCAAGGATATGTATAAGTACATTAGTTATAAAAAAGTTATGTGGTTTTTTGAAATCGTGCCACTTGATGCTCCATAGCAAAAATTAACAATCCCACATGTTAAAATCAAAATACAATTTGTTTTTTTTTTTAATTGAGTAATTAAGACTACAAAGTTGAATCCCAAAAATTATTTTATTTGATTAGATATTAACATATGATGTTTACTGATATTTGAATTTATAATCGAGGAGAATATAATAATAATTCAAGCCNTCATTATTAGGAGACATATCTAAAATTTATTATTTTCAATTTATGCCGTATTTTATCATGTTGTTTATCACATTATGGTGTTTTACACTTAGATCATATTGTTTTCATATTTTTATGTTGTGTGAGTGGAACTCTTAAATGAAATGAGACGTTAAAACTTGAATTCGACTCAACTTGGTTGGTAAACCCCTAAGCTCAAGCTTGTTTAATTAATGAACCGTTATCGGTTCGATTCACTAGTGCTCAAAAGTAAGATTTATAATATAATTGTCTAGACAGTCACGTTAAGGCAGTTAAGATTTAAACTCAAATGGTAAATATTGATAAACGAGTCGAACATGAGTCCAATTATCAATTCATTTAGTTTACAATACAACTCGATAAAGACGCATGTTCAAGCCTTTTACATTTCTACCCGTGAGTTAATGGCATAGTTCTGAGAATCGATCCGGACTGGCTGGTCGGATTAGGAACCGATTTCACTACACGGTCCGATACTTTGGAAAAACCGATTGCAAAAGACTAGGTTAAGAATTGCTCTTTGGCTGGTTGAATCGGTAAAAAATCATCCAATTGGGCCAATTGTTGTTTTTAGTTTTTCTATTTAATTTCATAAAATCAACTTTTCTATTGTCAAACGTACCTTGTAATATATATAAATACATATTTCAATCAATTGATTTAAGTATATAAATGTTTTAAATCATTAAACCACGTCAAACTTTCCCATTAACGGGAACAACCCGGGGACTAACGGAAAATATTTTTTATAAAAAATTTATTAGTGTAAAATATAATACATTTTGGAAGTGTATAATTAGATGTTGATTCAACTGAAATCAACGTACCCATGAATTATTGAACTATTAGTTTGACCGATTTGATAATTGATCGAATTTTTAGAACTTTATTTATTTCTCTCGCCACTAATTAAAATTCACATATTGAAACCAACCAAACAAGACCTAACCTTTCCTTTGGGAAAATTCCTAAAAACGAATATCGGAATAACACCCTAAATTCGTAATGGTCACACGGCTCACCTAGTCTCAAATTCCTTCTCCGTGTTGAATTCCATTATTTTTTAACGAAAAAATCATAGTTAGCCCAAATTAAATTCTATAAATACCTTCCCCCTCTTCAACCCTGTTTCTTGAACCTGCTAAACAAATAAGACCAAAATCTTCCAGCCCTTTCTCTCTCTTCCAAAAGGACAAAAAAGAAAGAGGACAAAAAGAAGAGCTTATCTAGCATGACCGTCGCGAAAACCATCAAATTCCTTTACAGCTACGGCGGCAGAATCGTCCCCCGCCCCGACGGCAAGCTCCGCTACGCCGGCGGTCACACGCGCGTCCTCTCCGTCGACCGTTCGATTACTTTTGCAGGTCATTTACCTGGATTTGTCATTTTCTGAATTCAGCCCCGATTTTTTTTTTTTCCAATTTTGTTCTGATATTTTTTCTGGTTTTGTACAGAGCTGATGGTGAAATTGGGGGAATCGTGTGGATCCTCCGTGAATCTGACGTGTAAGCTGCCGGGCGAGGATCTCGACGTGCTGGTCACGGTCAAGTCCGACGAGGAGCTCCGGAGCGTAGTGGAGGAGTACGAGAGGTCGTCGTTGCCTGAGGCGAAGATCAGGGCGGTGCTTTTTCCTGCCAGATCTGGGAAGAAAATCACCCCACCGTCGTCTCCGATTTCTTGTTTTGACTTCCCCTCCGCCGCGAAGGCGCGCGACGCGGCTCCTCCCTCCGTCGCCGCTGTCTACCGCGCGTACGCGCCTCCCGCGGCGGTGAGGCGGTGCGCGTCTCCGGTCGTCGGGTATCCCGTCGTTGCCGGAAAAAGCCGTTACTGTCAGGCGAGGGCTTACCACGTGCCGATTAGGAATCATACTCAATAGTAAGGGGAAGGATATTGGAGGAGAAAAACAAGAGAGGAGTTGTTTCATTTTTTTTTTAAACTACTGAATTTGCGACCTTTTTGTTTTTTTCTTCCTACAAAATGTCACACACTTATAGAGACTTTTTCTCCGGCGCCGGGAAAATTGAGCTAAGCTCTGTTCAAATTCGCTCAGATTTGAGCTGCAATCTAACAAAATGAGCTGATAATCGAGCTCCAACTTGGCTCAATAACTGAGCTATTAACAAGCTGAAAATTAGAAAATATCAAGCTTGAAATCTTAACTATATAGCCAAGAGCTCTTTGGTTAATTTGACAGAAAAATTAAAGAAATTGTGTAATTAATTGTTTAACTGGTTTTGTTTGGCTTCTTTTTGATGTCTCGACTGGAAAGCCGTTGGCCGGCGAATGACGCGGTCGTTGGTATCTGTCGACGGTGTCTGTGTGACACGTGACGGCCAATGGGTCAGTCATTGTCTTGCTCCGTTGAACGGCCGACGTGGCGTGGGTGGCACGTGAATATTTGATGGGTTTCTCATTTTTTGGTGTCTTTTGTTTTCTTTTGCAGGCCGCTGCGCGTGGATATCAGTCGCGTTCGAGGCGGGTGGGATTCATAGGCAGGTTTGGCGGTCGTCGGTCAGCTAAACAATATATTTATCACCCTTTCGAAAAAGTTGAACAGACCGTATAACTGAAATATTATAGGGAACCGGGAATTACTCCGAGAAGATTTAAAAGTAAATAAATAAAAAAATAAATCGGAAAGGACCATATTATTATTGAAAAATAAATGAATAGATAAAATATATTGAAGAGGAAAAAAAAATAAAATATACATGGTGCAAATTATGAAGGTTGTTTAACCAACCATGCATTAATTGTTTAGGTGTTATAAGGGTGTATTCATGGAATACTCTTGAAATGGACTGGTGCTAATTTGGTAGGCTCAGCCTAATTCAAAATTGGACGATTTGATTGCTAAGCCAATTCACACCGCCGAAATTAAAAAGAATTGACGTCTTCTTTACACCACATTAATTGCAATAAATTGTATAATTCACAGCACTTGCTNTTTTTTGGCAAACACATAGCACTTGCTTAGTAGTTTAGGGTAATTGTTTGACCAGACAGCACCAAATAATACAAAATGTAAGCACTTAAAATGATCACTTTCAAAATTAACCTAATGTTTAAAATTTTTGTTACATGTTATTAGACATTCATTTTTTTAATAAATGTATACTTTTAAACAGAATAAAGCATGAATGGTCTCTTAATCGTTACGAGTATATTATTTAGTAGCATAAGTATATATTTTACTGGAAAAGTACAAGGACTCTACGTGAATATGAGTTGCACCGAATGAAGAAGATATTGTGTATAAAATTTGATGTGATCAAGGCTTTTCCCATCGGGTCAAAAGCCACCGCTTTCTAAATCCACGCCTTACTCGGCTTAAGTCTGAAAAGAGTGGATTTGACAATTCTGGTAAAATTATTTGATGCATGGAAAAGACATGATATGAAACCTAATGCACTAAATTGTGCTATGAGATTTTAAGTGGTTAATTATGAGAGCATGAAATCAAATAACTTTTCGTTTTCTTGGTCAAGTTACACTAGCCTCGCATTTAAACTCTATGGACAAAAAGGGTACAAGTTTTGAGGTTATGATTAATTAGGTGTTAGGAATTAAATCATTAGACAACTTAACAGGCAGTTTCAATACAAGTTTTTGAATACAAATTAAAAATGCCTTATCATTTCAGTTTATGTTAGAGTATGTCAATTGTATATGAAAGTATAGGATAATAATAGCCATCGGTGTGTTTTAACCGTGAATTATCTATCTACACTAATCTATATATGTTTCTAAAGGATAATAATAGCCATAGAATGATTTTGTGAAGAGACTGTAGTCGTTTTTTAAAGTATATGTATATATATATATATTAAAAAATATAATCGACTAACAGCTAGATCTACCTAGTTGCAATTATACCGTTAAATTAAAGTACAAAATGGCATAGTTATGACTTATGAAATCATGGTCTTATTGATCATAATCCATCGTATAGTTTACTTCTGATTTTGCTGACTTGGAATCTTAGAGGAAGGGCACGAGTGCAAGATGTAGAAGAAGAATGAGTGGGTTTGAATGAAAAAATCAATAAGGTAATAGGTATTTTCAAAGTGAGTTTGAATGAAGAATCACTAAGGTACTATTTGGTATTTTAATTTTTATATTACCTTACCAAATTGATTTTACAAACGCCTATTTTAATGGAGTATTTATGTCTGATCATATCCAAATGAAAAAAAGAAAAAAATGATTTTATGCAGACATTTATCAAAATGGAATCAACCATGTTCGAAGAGTCCAAAATTAGTTTGCAGTGACGTAGAAAACTGTAGCCATGCAAGTTGATACGATCCATACCCATTGCGTGTCTCGGCCCGCTTGAAAAATATTGGAAAATGTAAGACGGAACAAAAAATAAAAATAAATAAACCAAGTAAATATTTAGAAAAAGATGTAACTACAAACTTATTAATATCATCAGATCCAATCAATGTAACCGGCTGCAGGTAAGGTGAGCCTTTAAAGTTTAATTATCGTTTTCGTCAAAATATCATTTTCATACCTGAATATATCGATTTTATCAAAAAATATCAACCAAAATATTGGATATATTCGATTTTTTTGTTAAAAGAAAAGATAATTTTCTTTATCTTGATTTTTTTTTTCTATGAATTGAGAGTTCTACACTTCACTATAACCTGTTTATATATTTATTAAATTAAATTTTAATCAATTTTAGTATTAATTATAGGGTCAAAATACACCAAATCTCCGTGGATTATACTAAAATTGTGTGCTTTCCCTTTCTTTTCTAAAAAATGGGCGAAACTCTCTTAGACCATCTCCAGCTCTTATCTCTACTCTAGCGCGGACTTTACTCTACTCTAGAGTAGAGTTGAACATTCATCTCCAGCCCTTATCTATACATTTTACTCTACATTAAATATATTATTTTTTTATTCATTTTTTATTTTAAATAAATTACTATATATATATATTTAATCTTATATAAAATGTTAATTACTCAAATAATAAAAATATATTTTATTTATTTTTATTTCGAATAATTTGCTATATATATAATTGTAATAAATTGAATTTCTTAACCGATTGAATCAAAACTGTTACTTTTGAAAATATATGAATTAGTGCAAATTTACACACTAGACCATATATGGTTTAGACCATATCTTGTGCAAATTTTATTATCTATATATATGATCTTAGCCATTGATCTTTAGATAAGAATCCTACGGTTGATTCAAATTTATTATCTTTTTTATTCATTTTTATTTCAAATAAATTCTAATATATGTATATTTCATCTTATATTCATTTTTGGTGGTATTTTAATATTAAAAAATTACAAAATAAAATTAATATACATCAATTTTAATAGTAAAAAAATGCAAAATTAAATTTATTACACATCAATAAATAAAAAGCACAAAGTTATTTAACATAATAAATACATTTATTACATATTATAGAAACAATTATTACCGACTTCTCGATAGCTGGAAAAAGGACCATTATCCATCCGGAACCGAAAAATGACTTCACCGACATCGCGATTCGCTACATTAAAAATTATCCATTCAACAGACATCCGAGGAGATCAAATATCCAAGCAGATGGTGCTGTACACTTTCAATTGGACCATCAAAACAAGGAGCAATCATTGATATTCCCTCATTCCATTACACACGCTTTATTGAAGTTGCTCAACATTAAATGCGATCTTATCCACCTCGGACAAAAAGACAAAACAACCGTACTATAAATAGCAGAGTTTATGATTGTACGGGGATTTTTTTTCGCACATTGTACACGGACTTAAAATGATCTTGGTCAAGAACAAAAAACCGACTTTTTGTACTCTTGTGACACCATCAATAATATACAATTATCTTCTTATTTTCGTTTAAACACACCTTGCTGTTTATGATTTTAAGTTGTTAATTTCATACAACAACATATACTAATACAAATTCTTGTTTTGGGTTGGTTTAACCATTAGACAGGCCAACCTGTCGTACTTCTATTATAAAAAATTATATTTATATTATGAAATATTGTGCTTTCAATTATGTTTTTTGTTAGAGTATGACATTTCAATTTAAAGAAGAAAATATGCTTTTTCGTATGACTTACCAATCATATACTTGTCTCACAAAGGCCTGGTCAAAAGATATGCTATAGAATAGAATATCTCAACTTTCAACTGCCAATATAGAAAAGATAAAAAGAAAAGTATAATTCTTTACTCCAACAATTCACACAAAAAAGCACCGTGCATCGTATTAATCAATCATCGCACGAAGAACTTCCCGTTTCACTTTGTTGATTTCACAACAGAATGAACTAATGCAGGGCAAATCATCCTTTTTCACTTCCATTTGAAAACAGACAGTGTTAAAAAACCATATCCAAACCATAGAAGGAGTTTGAGACTAATAGCGATTCCAAATTTTCACAAAAACCCAACATTTTTACTAGGAATTTAGGAACTTTAACCAGTTTCTTGCTCGAATTCATCACCTTCAGATTCTTCTCCATTGTCAGCATCATCATCATCATCTGCATCATTGTCGTACTCTTCTTTTTCGTTATCAATAGTGGTTTTCCCGATAATAATAAGGTTGCTATTACCCTTCCTGATTTCGTTCAACTGCAAAGAGATCACAGACATAAAGAAGAATAAATAAGTTCCGAAAAAATAAAAATTCCATAAATAATCTAATTTTGGGAATTTTGCATTAGTGAATGAGAAAGTGACAAACGTAAACACAAAGAGGAAATAGGCAAAAATACGCTAATCGATTGAAAGAAGCTGTTACAGATTCCCAACAAACATCAGAACTGTAGAATCTATAGCTTATCGATCGATCTAACGGGCTTCGTTTAATTGGAAGGTGAGGCTCAAATTCTTTAAGTACAACAACAACAACAACAACAACAACATAGCCTTTAGTCCTAAGCAAGTTGGGGTAGGCTAGAGATGAAACCCGAGAAAACCAATGGTAAGAGAAACACAAAAAGGGCACGAAACAAAAGGAAGGAAAAGAGCAGAGGTCACGGTTCTGGCACGTTGATTGCTAGCCTCCAAGCGCTCCTATCCACCGCTAAATCCTTGGAGATATTCCAATCTTTAAGGTCTCTCTTAACCGACTCTTCCCAAGTGAGTTTAGGCCGACCTCTACCTAAGTACATTTTTTATATTTTTCCCAATTATTTTCTCAATCAAATCGGCACTAGGGAATTTTCAACGGTCACTGGTCTAAAAAATCGGTGCTTACAATAAACTAATAAAGATTCAGATCAAGATTATGTTTGCAGTTTCCTCGTTATGCTTATCAAACCCAGAACAAATTATGTATATATAGGATAACGTCATAATTGCACAATGTGATATCATCATCATCATCATCATCTAAACAATATCCCCAAAATCTGTGAAGGAGTTAAGTAAAAGTGTAAAACATAATATTTTCAGCTCAAAATTACTGTCAAATTCAATCATCCAAGGCTCATGAACATGAACTAAAACTGTGACATTATCCTGCATCCGATTTTACATAATTCCGTCCAGTTTCTTGCTATATGCAAAAGCTAAGTAATATGGTGGATTAGGGTAATTATCAGGAAAAATCATCAAAGTAATCCATTAATACAGCAAACAAGAATTGAACTTCAAGAAAAACGGAGCCCCACGAACACAAAAATGAAATTGAAAATTTATTTTGCGCTAAAAAGTCGAGGAAAATATCAGCACTTGGGAATTTCCGACGGTAAAATCGTCAGTTGCAATAGGGATACAGATTAAGATCATGCCCGTGGCTTGCTTGTTATGTTCACCAAAGCAAACCCATAACTACTTTTGTCGATACAGGATAAATTCATAACCGCACAATGTGATGGCATCATCATCTAAACAATTTGCCCCAAGATCTGTGAAGAAGTTAACCCCCTCCGAAAACACACACACATGCAGTCATACAAAATGAGTAAAAAACATAATTTTTTCAGCTCAAGACACTCCAAAGTTCAATCATCCAGGGCGCATGAACACAAACTAAAACTGTGAGATTATCCTGCATCTGATTTTCGACATAATCCCGTCTAGTTTCTTGCTATATTAAGCTTAGTTATACGAAGATTAGGGTAATTATTAGGGAAAATTCACCAAACTAATCCACTTATAATATAAACATGAATTGAACTTAAAACGAACACAGCCCATGAACGCAAAAATGAAATTGAACATTTATTTCACGCGAGGGAAAATCGGCTTTTTGGAATTTCCCACGGTCACTTGTCTAAAAAATCGGCACTTGCAATGCAGCCTGCTTGTTATGTTTACCAAAGCCATAACTAATTTTGTCAAATATAGGATAAAGTCATAACTGCACAATGTGATAGCATCAATATCATCGTTATCATCTAAACAATTTCCCCAAAAACCTGTGAAGGACCTCCCCCCCACACCCCACCCAACACACACACACAAAAGCACATCCAAATGAGTGAAAAATTAATCTTTCAGCTCCAAATTACTCTCAAATTCAATCGTCCAGGGAGTATGAACACGAACTAAAACTGAAAATTCATCCTTCATATGATTTGACGCAATCCCGTTCTAGCGCTATAAAACTCAGTTACTTCCATAAGGGTTATTATTAGGCAAAATCACCCACTGTAAACAATAATTGAACTTCGAGGAGCGCAAATGAACCGAGCCCATGAACGCAAAATGAATAATGAACATTCTTGTCACGCTAAAAAATTGAGGGCAGATCATAAACAATCAGGGATCATAAATTATCGGAAAATATTCAAATAATTTCAGCTCGTTAATAGATTTAATGATAACGACCTTCTCTTCGTGTTCTGACTCTTCCATGGCGAGGAGCATCTCGTCGTTTTGGGGCTGAGGCCACTGAGCCGGGAGCAAATACGACGTCGGGATGGTCCGGGTCGACGATGGGTATTGGGTCATGAACGCCGGGTACTGCAGCATTTTCAGATGAGTTCTTTGTCTTCAGATAAAAGTGTTCTGTAATGTGCAGCCCAAACAATAACAGATTTTTTTTTTTTTTTTTTTTAAACAAAATCAAAATGTAAAAGGATACGAGTGAGGCTAGAGCATTTAAAATAAAAACGAGTAGATCGTGAGACCCTGAGACCCACCCGCTAAGGTTCGAATTGGGATCAACTAATTTGATAAATAAGATTTATTTAAACTCGTTTAGTTACGACTCGACTCTTTGAGATTCGTTAATGTGAAAATTTTATATAATTTTTTATAGTTGGACTCGTTATGTCCTGAGTTCAGTTCGTCAAGACTCGTAAATGCTTGATAATAGACAATTTATTTAATTTCTATAACTTTACGTGTCATGGTTCAAGTTTAGTTGTTAAAATTCAATCCCCGACTTGGCAATATTGATAATTGTTTGTCGATTTGTTTATTTAACAGCTCGATTGGATTAATATTCAAGTATAGGTTCGAGTATTGAGCTCAATTAATTTAAAATCTTTGTTAAGAAAATAAATAGGCTAGCTTGCTTTAATTAGCTGCTGTTTTTTTTTTTTTGGTGTGTGTAATTAGGTAAAGCCTACTTAATTACTTGATATGAATCTCCGTAAATAAGACATCCATTTGTTGGGTCACCTGACTTTTCATTACTTGATAAAGTCCATGAGAATTGGAAACCTTTTCTTCACATATTTGACTTTTTCCACACATATTTACATTTACATTTTCACTTTTCATCAAAAACCTAAAAAAGAAACACTTCTTCTGTGTTCTCAATCAATCACCTAATTCTGCACTGTACATTATTATTATTACATTTACATCATCAAAGCATGAACTTTTTTTTTTTCTTGTTTGTGGCCACACAAAAAGACACAGATAAAACATATCAATTTTCACTGATAACAATCTTAAATTTCTCAAGCACAAATTTACCTTCCTTGTACTTTTGTGAATCCTCATAAGCCTTCTCATATTTCCACCCCAAAACCTCTTTGCAATCTCGACAGTGAACATCGGCCACCATATGCAGGCCCGTCATCAGATGTCGATCCTCTTTCCGGCCCGTGAACACATTCACCACATGAGAAAACAGAAAGGCTCGTCCGTTTTTCGACTGATCGAAAAAAAAAAAGAATTATTTTGCATAGCTAAAAAAATAAAAACGAATAAAACACTGTATAAGACAAAATTCGAAAGGGCGATCTCCTCGACACGGCGGCGCTTGCTAACACTTTCATCCCCCTCAGCAAAGGACCGCTTAAGTTGACCCTCCTCGAGCAGAGCTTTCTCGGGAGAGGCGGAATATGAATGATAGAGGTGGTCTGGTCGTGCGGAGGTGAGCGCGACAGAGGAGATGCCGTTTTCTCGAGCTGCTCCGGCTGCTCGGGCTGCTCGGATTGCTGGCCCGCTGGAGGGTGGCCCGCTGAAGGTTTCTCGACGATCACTTCTGGGGGCGGTGAAGTCGAGCGGGCGGACTGAGAGGTAGTCGAGTCAGCGGGTTTCGAGCTCGACCCCTCGCCGGGTTGCTTCCTTTTCAAGGGAGCATTCTTCTAGGGCACAGAGATAGTAGGCATCTCTGCGAGAAACCACGGACAAGTTAGAGCCACAACAGGTAAATCATATATTGAATAACGGCACGATAATGCCCAGGCACGCTCAATAAAAATACAAATACCTGGATCGTCTGTAATTCGACTGAGATCGAAAATTTTTTGAGAGGGAGGAGGAAGCGACTTATGAGTAAGAAGGCCGCAGAAATGCAAGAGACAACTTTGAAAAAAACGGAGTGCCGAGAGAGGGGGATATCATCTTCGTTCCTCTCCCTGGCTGCCTCAGCAGTGTCGAGAGCTGCCTCAGCGGCATCAGAAGCCCCAAACGCCGGATGACGGCGGTTGAGGGGAATATGGTCGAGGGCATCCTCGTCTGATTCATCAATCAGGCGAGTAGGTTGGCGAGGAGGAGAATATGTGGCACAACCGGAAAGGGGTAAAACGCTGATAGGAGTGGGATTGTAGAATTCCTCGACAGAGCAGGAAGGCGAGTGAGGGATAGGCCGATGAGTGGGGAATGATGACGCGGCGGTCTCATCTTCACCAGAGTGATGGCTTGGTGCATTAGAATCAGCGGAATCTGAAAAGTAGAACGAAAATTGAGAGGAAGAGGAAAGGAGTTAGGGTTTTTCAAAGCAAAGAAGGAGGTTTTTGTCACAGGCGAGACGAGAGGGATTTTGGGAAAAGAAGAAGAAATAGGGAAAATTGAAAGATTGACAAAATAAATGCACGCAAATACAAAGTTAAAGCACAGGAGACTTACTCATGGTTGCAGCGAAGAGCGGTTACCGGAGAATACTTGCAGAAGAAGCGCCGAGAGCAGGAAAGCACAGTTGGCGGAGGAAGAAATTAAAGCACGAAGAAATTCGAGAGTTGCAAAGTGAGAAAAATTGAAAAATTTGCTAAGTACCGTATTTATAAGAGGACAGAGGAATAAGGTGAAAGGTTATTTGAGATAGCCGTTAGATAGAAGGGGATCCAACGGTGAGAAGAAATGGAGGAGGCACAGATAGCGAAGCGGCGCAAATCGCGAGGAGGCACGATGATTAAAAGTGCAATGCTGAAAGGACATGTGGCAGGCGGAAATTACGCTGATAATAAAAGGAAATAAAAGGCAGTTATAACGCACCGCAAAATCGATCACGTGGTCGAAGAATGATTGTGGCATCAACCGAAGCGATCCAGAGAGGAGGCTAAATGTAAGTAAGAGATCGAGAGGCTGGCAGAGTGGAGAAGACAGCTCGAATTCACTCTTAGATCGAGTCATTTAGACTCGACCAGAGTGGGGGGGACTAGATGATATGGGATATAATATAACTATAGAATAGACCGGTCTACCACATCGGTCGGGCAAGCTCGAAATAGAGAAAACCGCATTGGTCGACGGATGATCGACCAAAAGAGAAGAGATCGAGCAAAATAGCAGAACTGGTCGAGGATCGACCTAGCGATGGGAGGCCCGATCAGATCGAGCACCCAGCAGGTAAAGAGCAGTCGAGAGCGTGGCTTGAACGCGAGCGTGGGTGGCGTTAGAAGATCCTAACGGCAGGCGCAGAAGAATAATCTCCCTCCACCCAGAGGGACACGTGGCGAGAGTACATTGATGCAGAGCAATAGTGGCGATAACCACCTCTGACATCTCTGACACACGCACACTGTGTGTGTACGGATGGGCAGCGCGGGTAGGACAACTCACCAAAATCTGGGTAGCTCCTAGGGCAGGTATCCCGCTCCTATATATATAGGAGTGGGTCTTTTCTTGTGGGACTTACGATTTATCCATTCTTTACTTTGGAAAATTGAACAAACACATACTGACTTAAGCATCGGAGGCTCTTCGCCGGAAAACCCCTCCGGTGTGAGAGTTCTGTGCAGGTGCGCGGCGTTCTATCGGCGAGGAAGAAGAAGGCGAACCGATTTCAATCCGGTCGGAGTGTTTTGCGTTACCATATAAAATATCCAAATAAAAAAATCTAAGTAGTTGAGTAAAAGTAACCAGTCATAAGATTTTTAAGCCAAAAAATCGACAATCTTTATCATGCTAAAAAAACTGAACAGTGCAATTCACACAAAAATTATTTGAAATGTCGTAACATAAAATGAATTAAATTGAGACCCACTAATTATACCAAAAAAAAAAAAATGACCAAAGTTTTTCTATAAAAAAAATCGATACACACACATTATATCAAAATATCCGTTCATATTATTTTGTCGAAGTTACGATAATTTTATTATGTTAATTTCATATGAAAAATTGAAACACACGCCTAAAAGTTAATATAGTAGCATGTGCATTACATAAAAAAGTACACCGTATATTAATAAATTTTTCAATAAATTTTTTACTAAAAAACAGTCATCAAATAACCTAAATTAATTTGCTCATTTTATACCATATATTGATTAATTTATTTCCCATATATAGAAACAACTATCAATACCAAAAATAAATCCGTCCACTTTATACCATATAATAATTAATTTTTATGATTTGAGTCATATATTAATTAATTCTTATAATTTGAGTAATTAAGGTATCTTAAAATATGACTTAATTATTCCTTAAATAATGAGCCGCAATTTTCATAAGTAATCATTTAATATATACCATAAATTGTTGAATTAATTTCTGGACAGAGTAAATAAATTGTTTTTGAAGAGAAATAGTTACTATTTAAAAAATAATCAAACATTTATATATATATATATAGATTCGAAAATTACTTAGGTTTTTAATGGAGTGTAAAAATTAAATTTATTATTAAAATTCCTTTTACAAAAATATGGGTGTCACACGGGCGTTCTAAACTCGAACTTGGTCGTCCATAAGATGTAGCTTTGAGCAGGATTTATCTACTCTTAATTATGTGGAAGTGCTTGCCGATATGTCTTGCAACTTCCCATGTGCCAATTGTTGGAATTATATCAGATCACTTGAGGCGTACTTATTGATTTTCCAGTCAATGGTGTCGTTAACGACGGAGAAATGGTTTTCGGCAGGTACAAGAGCGTGTAGCAAGTTTCAACCACAAACATAACAGAAATGAACACACACTGTATGGTTCCCATCCATTTTACTTGCTATTTATTTATAATTTATGGTTCCCATCCCAATTCTCCCGACTATTAGTATTAGAAGGAAAAAAGAAAACTTGAAATGATGCTTGACCATAAAAAGAGATGTCCAAACACAATACCGTTGTCAAGTTCTAAGTGCAAATTGAGGTTCTGATCATCAATCAGCCGGATACTATCATCTTGGCATTTAACAATAACAAACCAACTATCACGCCTCTCATTCCTTGCCCCAATCAACGCCTCGTACGAATACCCTAAGGATTAAAATGATGTTGATGCTCCCAAAAAGGTGCAGGGAGGGGCGACTCTTTAGGATCACGTTCCATTTCATCAGCAAAGAATTTATCCTCTTCCAGAAGCATCTGCAAAGAGTCGGTACTAACTATAAATGTGTGATCGAACCTTGGGAACTTTGATAAAGATGCACGTGCATTGCATGGTTCATCTATAAATTATGAGTCACAAAAATAGTGCAAGCCAAATCTGTAAGACAAGTAAGCCCGGGCACCAAATGCATATGTATGTATATATATATATATACTAATAATACTACTACGTGAACTTACCAAGAGTTGTTTGCGGGGGTTCAAGTTCATCTGCAGATGACTCGGCCAGGTGGGAGTGATCAATTTGCTAAAATCGTCCCCAAAGGGCTCAGACCCCTCCATCGACACTAAGCTCCCGACAAAGTCAAAGGCTGAAGATATACAAAAAAAATCCTGGGGAACTTCATACGTCCTAATAACTCGACTCTTCACAATGTCGTACAATGCTATATCTGAAGGCGTCTGCAGCAGCATATATTTCCCTCCCCCCACGGAGTTCAGGCAATAATGGAAATCAAAACCAAAAGAAACCAGACGTGAACAAATCCAACGACCATTCACTTCCATCTTCCACAAACGGTATGGACAATACATACTCTGTGCCTCAGAAAGTAAAGGGGCCAGCGTCTCCTCATCCTCGGCGGCCATATATAAATAATCCAGCACCGCTAATTCCCCCATCCAGTTGGTAACAAAAAGCTGCCCACTCCCAGTGGTAATTCGCATAGCGACATCTTCCGGGTCAGAAGATAGTTGAGATGGGAAAGAGAACAGCTTGAGCTTGTTGGTTTTGACATCAAATGAGATGATAAAGGGATTCCCATCATAATCGAGGACAGCCCAGTGGGGGGAATTCCTGACAAACACATTGCAGACGGTGGTTGGGACCAAGTTCACAGGGTTTGAGGGGTGATAGAAAGAAGGATGGTATGTGAGGTCAATCTCCTCCCAGGAGTTAATATCCGAGGACCAGACCTCGGCAAAAGTTGGTTCGCATTTCTTCGAAATGATTCTAACCACCTTGTACACGTCAGACTCTTCGTCCCAGCAGAAGGCGAATGTGGCCTGAATATTGGAAAAGCGCTGGAAAAAGCGGATGCCCATGGGGAGTTTCTTTGAGAGCCCAGTGGATGGGTTCCATATCCAGACGTCATTGGGGGACGGCCAGCTGCAGTACCTCCAGTTGCCAGTGGAGCAGATCAGACCATTGATCGAGCCAATAATCAATGTGTCCGGGGAAAAGCAGACGAGGCCTGATTGGGTGGGTTTTACTGGGGCCTTCTCTCTTTCCAAACTGGGGACTGAATCGTGGAAAAGGAATTGGGGATCGGATTCAGACCGGGCATGGTCGAGCTGTGCAGAGATGAATCCCCGTGAGGTGGTTAGGGAGAGCCAACTCCTGCATACGCATCTGCAGACGGCGATGTGCTTTGCGTGTAGCCGGAGAAGGACCAAGGATGTTTCTCTCTTCGGCAGGCTCCATTCTTCTTTTAAATTAGGGTTTTCTTTTATTGGGCGAAATGATGTAAATTTGAACCTGCTGTCAAGACCCCCTTTATTGTAATCACTGCCACCACTACGTACAACAGACGCATATGACTTCTTCGAAATTTGATCGTGTTTGGCAATGGATTTAACCACCAGCTCTTTATCTTTGAAAAAGCTTTGTGATATTGGTAAACATATGAAGACAAAAATTGAAACAAAAATGATATTTTAGATAACCAGGTTCAAGTTCTAGGAATTCCAATAAGATTTATTTTGAGCCCAGTATGAGATCATCATGTGTTGGTGATTTTTTTGTAAATATTCACTAGGGAGGCACAACCGATATGGCCAGATTGTGGGTCTTTAAAAGTTTGTTCCCTAACAATTTTTGTGTAACAATAATGTTTGACATTAATAAAACATTCATATTGAACAGTTGTATATACATTCATCGAGTTTTCTTACAGACACACCATCCAAAAGTAGCATAACACGATCTGCTGTATTGTATATTAGGAATTAACATCCTCATGAATATCATGAGAAGTATCAAATCCTAATATATTCACAAAATGGCTGACAGCTTGCACACAGTTATATGTACAATACATTTAGGGTTTATTAACCTTTTAGCTAGCATGGAGGTTACCAAATCCTAATGTATTTCAAAAGAGCAGGATAACTATTTCCAAATATATACATTCTAACATTGTTCATGGCACACTGTCTTCTGTTTCATTTGCGACTTTTCTTTGGTCGATTTTCAACTGCGGATGTCTGTGTNCAGAGCAAAGCAAATAGAAATAAATACCTGTATGGCATGCCTCAAAGCAACGAAAAGTAAGCAGCACAACTGAATAGTATTGAAGCCTCCACACTGCTAATAAATAATATTGAAGCTGTAGGTAAGCTAAACATCCTCCAGAAACAACAAAAAACAAACACCACTACAAAAAATGGATATCTAAACCCCATAAACCAAATAAATGAACAGATAACCCACATGAAGCAACCAACATAAACTTTTAACACAAACGTTACTTAATATACGACAGAGCAAAAGAGAGTAAAAGTGAAACATATAGCTCTCCACATCTTCATATACTCATGATAAATGCAATAAGTAACATCTACCTTTAAAGATGTTTTGAAAGTTCATAATGAAAAACCAATAACAAATAGCCGAACATGTAAAACAAAAAAAAACTGTACAAAGCATAACAAGAGTTAAATCAGCAACCATACACAGCCATTTAACTATAGACAGCCACACCCAACATACATTTCCGATGATCAAACCTCAGTCACCGAACACCACTACCTTCATTAATTAACTTATGTGAGATATAAATAAACTGCAGACAAAACAAAAACGAGGGAAAATATCCATACAAAAAAAAATATTATGAAAAAAGACATGTCTAGAAAAGCATTCCAGAAAATAATATCAACTGGGAAGGCAGATACCTGAAAATCCGTAGCCAAATCACAAGTATCACCAAAGCACACTAAATAGACAGCTCAAGACCCTAAGGAAAACCACCACATCCAGTTCAAAAATTTAATAGAGTAAAACTCAAATTAGGGGTGCACATTCGGTCGATACCGAACCGACTATTAAAACCGAAAACCGAACCGAAATTTATAGTTCTGTTCGGTTAGGTTATCGGTTAAACCAAACATATTCAACACATTCGCAACCAAAATCCAACTTTCATCGAATCTGAAATTTAACCAAACATATTCAACACTTTCGCAACCAAAATCCATTAAGTAAACTTTCATCGAATCTGAAAAGCGCTAATGAAGCACGATGCCAAAAATTTGGAACCTAGAAGGCTACAACTGTGCTACTCAGATCAAAACATGACAATCAACAAAAAAGAAAAAATGAATTGATTATAACAATCACCAGGTAAAAGAAGAAAGAGAGCAATTGATAGAAAATTGAGAGCTTGAATTGGCTCAATTGACATTCACCAAATTGGTTCAATCGAAATAGGGCTTTGACGAATTTGTTCAATTGAAACACGACCCTGCGCCCGAGGAGCAGCTCGTACGAGGAATTTGGGTTACCCGAGGAGCAGCCCGCAGGAGGGATTCTACTGATTTGAGAAGACGAGCCGTCGAGTGCCGATTTGGGTGTGTGTCGGAGCACGAGCAGCGAGCACTGAGCGCGGCCGATTGAACGCGTGACTCTGTGCGGCAGGAGACGAAAGTAGGGCCGATTGAACGAAGTAGGGCTTATGAGTTCAGGTTCAGACGAAAGATGAAGATGAAGAGCATTAATGGGCCTGGGTGGGTGTGGACAGTGGCATGTGGGTGTCTAGTGGGCCTCGTTCTATTTGTTTGCCTCAAAACATGGGCTGGGTAATATTGGGGTTTTATAACTTATAAAGATAATTTCGGTTTTGTGGGCCGATCAAAGGAACAGACGTGTTTAGCTATTTTATATTATTGGTGGTTGTTTGGGTTAAAGTTATGTATGCCAATTTCACATGTTGTTTTCTGAAAATGTAACTAAGTTTTATAATTAGTGAATAGTATAATACATGACTATTTTAAATAATATAATTGTAATAATAATATAATTGTAATTAACCTATTTCAATATATATATATATACATATACATATATATATATATATATGAGTGTTAAATTAAAAATACATATTAATCAAATTTTGTAGTAAATGTAGTGATAATAATAAATTATACTTGTAAATAAATAAAATTATGAATGATTATAGTTATAAAATAGTACGTAAAAATAAATATTATTTTTGCATAAACATATTAGAAACGCAACATTAAAATTAATATGGAATATGTTGTACTTATATCTAATAGATTGTTATCACAAAGAATATATATGAATTAGCACAACACAAAAATAATTTTAGTAAATATAAAATATATTTGATTTTATAATAATTAGTATAGCAAATATATTATTCGAGCCAGAAATCGTGTTCGAGTTCGTTTGTTTAATTGTTCGTCAAATTTCGGATTCGTTTGTGTTCGCATAATTAATACATAAACTTTGTAAATATGTTTGATTAACTCGAAATATGTTCGTTTCAACTCGTTCGAATTCGAAAAGTAAAGAATAAATAAAAAAGGATATTTTAGATTTATTTTATACATGTTATGTAAATATATAAAAGTAAATAAAATTAAATTGGATTCGGCCCAAGAAAAATCCGAAAAAAATTCACGAACCATTTGCACAAAAAATCCGAAAAAAATCACGAACCATTTACAATTAAAGTAAGTTGAAAATATCTTTATTGGTAGGGAAAAAAATATTTCACAACAATAGCAATGGAACCTCTAATGTGCTCGTGTAAAATAGGGCATATGATCCTTCTAATGCAAAAACAGAAAAAAATTATGGCAAATATTTTTTCCGGTGTCCGGTTGGTCGACAACACCCCGGGTGTTTTATTTGGGCTGACAATATGCATCATCAAGGTTCGTCTCAAACATCTTTCACCAGGTTTAGAAATGTGCACGGTAGTTCGCAAACAATGGGAGAAAGTGGTGAAGAATCACAATTCTCGGAAGTATCAAACACACAAAGACAACCCCTCACAAACAACACTTCGATGAATGCTCCATCAATAATATTGTTTGTGTGCCGATTATCTTGTTTATTTATTTGGATATTACTTGGGATTTTATGTTGTGTAGCTGTTATCAAATTTATAAGCAGTATGTAATTTATGATGTATTGTTTTTTGGGTTGAACCTCTGCTTAATGACATATATCTCTATTTTTCGAAATTTTTCAATACATGCGTTTACACTTGTTGGATTTTTCAATGCATGCGTTTTTTCAGTCATAGAAGGGTGTATCAAATTTCGTGCAGGTCGCTCTCATAATATTAGTGGCGGGCCCCACTATACTATGCAAGATAGATTTTATATAAAATATTTTGTCATGGGCTTTATAAAAATTGGGCAAGCAACTGACAGCCTACTGACCATGCACAGGGCCCACAGACAATTTTGCAGTACCGAACTGACAGGGCCCAAGTTGAATGCATATCATTGTGTCAAAAAAATCAATTGTGTACTCAAAATTTTTGGCTGAAAATTTTGGGCCCAAAATTTCCATAAACAAACATCACCTAAATTTCCTTTTCTTCTTTATTTTTTTTCCTTTATTTCATCGTGTCGCTTTAAGCACACACCCACGTCTGTTCATGGCTTCACCTTCACCACCTCCAACAATCCCCAATCGCTTCCCCATAAAATCTCAGCTCAGCCCACGATTCAATCACAGAGGTGTTTGCCGCGCCGAGAATGCTGGCCACGTGTTTGTAAAAAGTCCGGCGAGAAGAAGGCAAAGGAAACGAAAAAAATGAGGCTGTACGTTTGCTTGCTGGAGGGGAGAGACCTAACGGCGAAGGATTTTTGTTACGTGAAGCTGCAGGTCGGAAAGTGTAAGTCGAGGAGCAAGGTTTTGAGGAGCGGGGAGAAGTTGATTTGGAACGAGGAGTTCTTCTTCAGGGTGCACGATTTGGAGGACGAGCTCGTTGTGTCCGTGTGCAGGCACGACGGCGATCGCGAGCAGCACGGGCTTTTCGGTGCCTCCTCCGGGGACTGCGTGGGTCTGGTTAGAGTTCCGATTTGGTCCGTTGTGGCGGAGGAGAATCATAATCTGCCCCCGACTTGGTTTTCAGTTGAGAGGCCTAAGAGTGCGAAATCAATCAACAGGGACTGTGGTAAGCTCTTTCTCTGTCTCTCTCGCTCTTTGTGTATCATGCACACAACCACACATTGAGCTATTTGTTTGGGTTTCATGACAAGTATTGAATAGTTAATTTTGTGTGGATTGAGTAGCTATAGATAGATTGGATATTGAAATACGTACTATGGTATTTGGTTCTCATTGATTTTTTTTGTGCTTGGTTGGTAAAATGGTTCCTTTAGTTACTGCAAATTGTGTTAGGGCTACTTACATTGTTTTGGATTCAGGTGATAGAACGCTTCTCATTTTGTTTTGACTAGTCTGCTTAAAACGATTATTGGGTGGATTGATAATATCTCAAGTGAGTGGAGAGAAAAAATGGTATGTTTATATGAGAAGGGTGTTCTTAATTGGAAGTGTATGGAGTTCACTAATATGAACTCCAACTGCCTTGTGTACAGCTTAGCTATAGAATTCAAAACAGGTTCACTAAGGTCTTATGTTACTAATATATTTGTTCTTGAAATATTCTCAGTATATATGGTTAGGTTCTAGTCATGGAATACGACTTATGGAACTTTTATGCTGCCAATGTAGGGAAACTTCTTCTTGCTCTATCCCTGCATGGAAAAGATTACACTTCAGCTGAAGCCAGTCATTCGCTGTATTCAGAAGGTAAAGTCGGTCCATCTCATGATACCCAAGCTCATGCACCCGATTCTACATCCAAAAAGTCACTTGATGGGAAACATTTGATGAAGGCACTCGCTGGACGTTTGGAAAAATTCCTAAACAAAAAGGATGAAACATCCCGTAATGAAAGTCCATCAGAGTTATCTACTCCATCTGATTATGAAGATTGTCAAATGGAGCTTCCCAGCTCCTCCAGTTTCCAGGAATTGATGGAGCTCTTGCAATCCAAGAATGAAAACGTACAAATGCCTGATAATCTCCAAGGTGGCATCCTAATCGACCAGACATACGAGGTTTCACCAAAGGATCTAAATATGGTTATATTTGCTCCCGATTCCGACTTCAAGACGAATTTAGCTGACTTGCAAGGGATGACTGAACTGCAAGAAAGCCCTTGGAAATGGGAATCGGAAGGTTTGAGAAGAGTTGTTACATATATAAAAGCAGCAAGCAAGTTAGTTAAGGCCGTTAAAGCCACCGAGGAGCAAACGTATGTTAAGGCAAACGGTAATGAATTTTCCGTTCTTGTTAACGTGAGCACACCAGATGTCCCGTACGGAAACTCTTTTAAAGTTCAATTGCTTTATAAGATAATGCCAGGTGTTATGTTATCATCCGAGAACCAGTTGGCTCGTCTTGTCGTGTCTTTTTCTGTCAACTTTAGTCAAAGCACGATGATGAAAGGGGTGATCGAGAGTGGAGCCAAGCAGGGACTGAAAGAAAGTTTCGATCAATTCTCGGGCTTGTTGTCTCAAAGGTTCAAAGTTGTGAAAGCTAGTTCGGACAAAGAACAGGTGTTGGCGACTATGGAGACCGAGCAAGAGTCCGATTCGGAACTAGCCGTGCATTATTTCTGGAATTTCACAGTGCTCTCGACTGTTTGTATGTTGTTATATGTCGCTGTTCACATATTTCTATGTAAATATAACAAGCTGCAAGGGTTGGAATTTCAAGGACTTGATTTACCCGACAGTTTTGGAGAAGTTGTCACATGTGGCATACTGGTTCTTCAGTTGGAACGCGTATATTTCATGATTTCACACTTTGTGGAGGCTCGATTACGAAGAGGTAATAACCATTTAGTTGAGTTTGTGTAAAGATTTTGGAATGTACTATTTTTTTTTTCAAGTTTTTGCAATGTATTACTCTTAGATTTGTTACAATGTTGTGACAGGAAGTGATCATGGGGTCAAAGCACAAGGTGATGGATGGGTGCTTACTGTAGCTTTGATTGAGGGGACAAATTTAGCTTTGATGAATTCAACTGAAATCCCGGATCCTTATGTTGTATTTACTTGCAATGGCAAGACAAGAACTAGCTCGGTCAAGCTCCAAACTCTTGATCCTCAATGGAATGGTACTTTGTCGTTTCTTTGTTTATTTATTTATTTTTATTGGATCTGATTGTAGTGTTTGGCTTTCTGCAACCACTTCAAAATAGTGATTGTCAGGTTTTGACTGGAAAACAAAGAATACAAAGAAAGGATTTTCTTATTCAGGTGCAAACTTTTGCTTCTGATGCTTCTAACATTCTAAGGCATACATACGAAGCATTACAAAATAATGGAGTTTGATGTCTGTGATGGATGCATTACAAAAACTTCTAGTCACCAAACCCCCTCTTTCGTCGGGATTCTATTTGCAAACACCATCAACATCTGATTCTCAACTACTTTTTGTTTCTGCTAAAAGCAAACTTTATGCAAACACTCCCAATATCGGGTAGGATTTTCATTTCCGCAACTATATACAGAGATACTCGAGTTTGATGCTGTTGATGAGCCTCCTTCTGTATTGGATGTGGAGGTCTTTGACTTTGATGGACCCTTTGACCAAGTATCCTCAATTGGGCATGCGGAGATCAATTTTCTGAAGCACACGGCTTCAAAACTTGCCGATCTGTGGGTCCCTCTGGATGGTAAACTTGCTCAGTCCTCTCAGTCGAAATTGCACTTGAGAATTTTCCTGGACAATAATAATGGAGTGGAAACAATTAGAGATTATCTAGCGAATTTGGAGAAGGAGGTTGGAAAGAAGGTAAAAAAAGCCCTGCCTTGTAGTTAATTTAACCAGTCTTAATTAGTGATATTCATTTTTGTATTATCATTGACAATTTTATTTTTAAATGTTTCTTGCAGTTGAACCTAAGATCCCCTCACAGGAATTCAGCCTTCCAAAAATATTTTGGATTGCCTCCTGAAGAATTTCTCATAAGTGATTTCTCATGCTCGTTGAAAAGAAAGATGCCATTGCAGGTTGATATATCTGACATAAGGAATTTGTTAACATATTTCAGTTTGTATTTTTTTTTTTTTTTGTTATTATATGTGATACAGTTTGCTTATGAATTGATTTGCGACCACCAAATTTAATTTCTGCAGGGTCGCCTTTTCCTTTCTGCCCGAATTGTTGGATTCTACTCGAACTTATTTGGACACAAAACTAGGTTTTATTTCCTGTGGGAAGACATTGAAGATATTCAGGTGCATCCACCTTCCCTATCAACAGTTGGAAGTCCATCAGTCTTGATAATTTTGCACAAGGGTCGAGGACTCGATGCCAGACATGGAGCCAAGATTTTAGATGAACATGGCCGGTTGCATTTTCACTTCCATTCTTTTGTTTCCTTCAATGATGCTAGCAGGTATTTTTACTTGGAATTTACGGGTGATTTGTACTTTTACTTTGTATAGTACTTTTAAAAAACGGGTCTATATTACTATGAGAGTTAACATTAGCTTTTATTTTTAACATAGTTATGTTAAATCTCAGGCGTAGTCTATTGTAATTTGTCCCTGATAATTATTCCTGGCAATTATGTGCCGATTACATGCTCTGGAATGTAAATGATCATTTTGTGCAACTTTTTGATTTATAACTGTGATAATAGGACAATTATGGCCTTGTGGAGAACAAGAACAATAGAAGCAGATCAGAAGGCTGAATTTGCAGACGAGCAGGTGGATGATGATGAGAAGCCTTTTCTAATTGAAGACACTGGATCGTATCTTGTTGTTGACGATGCAATGTTGACCAATGTTTATACAGTCGAGTTGCCTCTGAATGTAAGATTGTAACTTATTCCTTCGTATTTTCAGTTCAAGCATCTTTCGTTAAATTCAATTTCAAATCGAGATTCAATATTCAATTAATACGTGCGTCTATATTTAAATTGTTTAATTCCACAGCTCAAATCATTGATGAAGATGTTTGATGGAGGAGAGTTGGAACACAAAGTGATGACCAAATCTGGCTGTCTTAACTATACGACAACTACTTGGGACAATTTGACGTCTGACATACAAGAAAGACACGTTTCTTACAAATTTAACCGACGAATCTCGATCTTCGGAGGTGATGTTACATGCACGCAGCAAAAATCACCTTTACCGAATAACGGTGGATGGGTTGTAAACGAGATTATGACCCTTCACAATGTCCCGTTTGGCGATCACTTCCGAGTAAGTTGGTATTTTTCTGAAATGTGTAAATACTTTTATGAAGAAAGGAAATATATATATATATATATATGAGATATGGAAAACCGTTGAGCTGCATTCAATAATTTGCTCTTTGCATAAGCAGGTTCAGTTCAGATACCAAATCGAAAAATCGACATTTGCGCACAATTCATGCAAGTTTGATGTTCATATTGGGGTGATGTGGCTGAGGAGTACCAAATTTGAGTCCAGAATTACGAAGAACATTATCGGGAAGTTTACGAATCGGTTAGAAGAAATACTGCAGCTGGTGGAAAGGGAGATTCTGCTAACAAGCCAATGAAGTATATATGTCGTGACATTTACATTTAGCAAATAGGGTTAATTATGTGTTTACTAATCCTGAGATATAATCATATAGCCTCATTTGTCAATGCTGATATCACTACATATAAAGGGATGATTATAGCTGAGCTGATGTATACTTTTAATGGTGTTACTAATTAGTTTGGTATGCTTACACAGAAGGCAATAGTACTATTGTTTGGAAGTACTATGACATATTTTTGAGTAAAACTAAAATATAATAAAGTACTGTAGAAACATTAACCTAATAGAAAGAGAAAAGGTTTGATAACATATAATAGTTTTAGCTATTTGTTCCCAGGGAAGTTATGTGAGTCATATTTGTATAACAGGTTAGATAGTTTGCACCACAAATATTTTGCAGGAATAAATGTAATACCTTTTTCTAGCAAATCATATACTAATTGAAACTGATCAAATAATTATTGTCTTTTTTTAATTTGAAATTATACCTGTTCGTGATAATAGCTCGGTTTCGTTCGTGAAGGCTTGAACTCGGCTTATGCCTTTACACGAGTTGTGTCCAAGTAGCTAATCGATCTGGTTTATAAAAACATGGTTTGGCTCGTGAAAGCTCAAGCTCGGCTGATGCAGTTGTGCCAAACAACTAAATCGATTTGGTTTATAAAACAAAGTCGAGGCGAACTGGATTGTGATTTTTTTTTTTTATTTTTATTTTAAGGGTTTTAAAAGAACAGTTTTGCTATGAAGCCAACAGTTGGCTCTATAGTGGAACCAACCTTCTATATAGAACAAGTAAACCATACTATATTAATAAAATTATTAATATTTATTTAATTAATCAAAGAATATGGTATGATTTATTTGTTGTATATAGAAGGCTGACTCCACTAAAACTGAATAAGAGAAATAACTTTTTGAATGGAGATTTCATTTTCACAAATAACTCGGTTAAATTTTAAATTTTATTAAACAAGTTGTGTCTGGCTTTTTTATTAAACGAGTATGAGCACAAGTTGTGAAAATTCTTTTTTTTTTTATTAATCTATACTTATATAAAAACTCATTCTATTTACTAGAATTAGTAGGAAGAAAAGTCAACTCATAATTAATTGCACATCATATTTAAAAAATTTTAGATATTTTAAATCATAAAATAGGGTAGCATTAAATGCCCCTAAAATTATAAGTTTTGTTGAATTAATTTTTGAAAATTTCGACAGATATTGAAGTGAATATGAAATTTAAAATCTCTTCTCATTTCATTTTTAATAAAATCTACATCCAAATTTACGTGTAATTTTGAAGTGAAAATTTGAAATTCAAAATCTCTTCTCATTTTAGCTACAAGAAAATCGGGTTGCATTCAACACTTGGACCAATTTAAAAATTATTCCTTAAATGAAGGAATTTATAGATAATTGTTATCTCTACTCAATCACATGATTATTTTCAATATAAAAAGATAGATTACAAATTAGTGAATCATATATTACCTAATTCAATATCTTAACATTAAGGAATAAATCCATAGTATTATGTAAATTCGTATCTCATATTATTATATCATTAAGAATATATTATATCATTAAAAATATATTATAGTTATATTATCAAATCTAAAAAGATATTAAATCCATATTGTAAAAAAAAATAATTCATATAATTTTATAACAATTCCACTACACTATTTATCAGTAATCCTTTTTATTATATAATAAAATAATAATTAAATATTATATAGTGAACAACAATACGTAAAACTGTTGTGGATAAATTTATATGCTAAAATTAAATTTTTATTAGTATAAATATTTTAGTGAGATAATATATTAATTATTTTACAAGTTAGCCCTAACATGCTCATATTTAATGTTTTGGCTAAAAAAATAACACTGGTTAAAAGATGTGGAAAAAAACTTATAATAATCTATTGTTTTTTAGACTTAACGTTGATTAAAAGAGGTAGAAAATAGATAATAACCCTATTATTTTTTAGACTTAAACAGACAAGGCTAAGGGTGTGAAATAACTCATTTAATATCTCTGTCCCGTACATCGCATGTGTACGTACACGGGCGGATCTAGCTCATAATATGAGGTGGGGCCTATTTGTTTCTAGAAAACAAATATAATACATCACAATAAAATATAAATACAAAATACACATTCATAGAAATTCTTATGAGTTTTCATACTTTGGTATGACTCTACAATAAAGATTTTACATTTTCTTTCGGCCTAATAATATTATAATTCACCTCAAATATATTTGGAACAAAAGTAGCTAATTTTGAAATATTTTCACATGCACTTTTTGTCAATACTATTTATAAAAATATTTTCTCCATAATTTGATACAAAAAAATAAATTGTAATGTATAAAATGTTTTATCTAATATATCAAACTTAAGAGCCCTACATGTTATCAAGCACACAAATTTAAATATGTTAATAGTCTTTTAAGAAACAACATTCAATTATCTATAAGTTTAAATTTTTTATTTTTATATCAAATCTAATAAAAAAGAACTAGATTTATTTTCACCAAAATAAACAAGAACAATAATTTTTTTCCAATTATCTCTTTTTTTCTCTTATTTGGGTGTTCTTATTGTTTTTTATATTTATTAATTAAATATTAAATTATTTATTGAATGCCCCTGGGTACGTACTAGTGGGTTTCAAAGGGAAAAAAACCAAACTCGCGAACTGACATTTTATTTGGATCAAATTATTTTATTTATGGCAAAAATACTGATATGTGTTTCTAGATAATTACTGCATCGTAGATTTTAGCACGTCAACTGTACGCACACCACTATAAATATTAAATTATGGCAATTAAAATTTGACATCAGCTTATCGAGAAACACAGAAAGAAAAAGCACCTGCAATGGATCCGAACCCGAAGAATTTCCCGATCCTCTCCTACGTCATGGCAAAGCTGCCCACCTTCAAGCGCGTCTCCTCCGCCGCCGCCGATTTCGACGTCGAGAACCCGCTGGAGACCTCGCCCAAGCCCCAGGAGCCCCACTTCGAGCTCACCGAGCGAATGCCCCACCTCAAGAACCGCAGCCTCATCGCCGAAATGCGCCGCGCTGTGGGCGACGTCGCGCAGACTCGATCCACCCTGCGAGCCCTCGGGACCCGGCCCGACCACGAGGCCGTCGACGCGGCCCGCCTGAGGCTGGCCGAGATCGATGCCCACTCGTCCAAGGACTCGGCGGAGATACAGGAGGAGTACACGATTTACAAGGCGGTGGTCTCGCTGGACGAGATGCACGCGGCGTACGAGAAGATGCTCAGCGAGGGGGAGAGGCGTCTGGAGAAGATCTACGAGGCGGCGCTGGCGGGTGCGGAGGTAATCGAGGAGGAAGGGGAGGATGAGGGCGTGGGCGAGGGTAAAGAGGAAATCGATGAAGAAGTGGTGGCGATCTTGAAGGAGGCGGAGGAGGGGAAGGCGGTAGAGAGGGTTGATTTGTCTGGGAGGAGGCTGAGGATTCTGCCGGAGGCGTTCGGGAGGCTGAAGTCCTTGGTCGTGCTGAATTTGTCTGATAATCAGCTTGAGGTTAGGTTTGATTCACATTGGTGCTATGCTATACCTATCGAGTTTATGTGCTTGTACTGATTGATTTCATTTGTTGCCTTAGTGGATATATATTTGGTTGTGTATAGTTGTTTTTTCCTGTTAGATTATCTGAATGTATTGAAGGATCTTATTGTTCATTGTTAGATAACTGATATGAAGGGGTTTTAATGCTGTTGTGGTTAGGTTGATGATGGCTGGGCTAATGTGCGATAGGGTTAAAAAATGATTACTACGAACATCAGCTCAATTGAACATTTGGTGACTAAAATGTAGTTTTATGGATAATGTGTGGAAATAAGTTACTTCAATGTCTTCTAGGAAGATGCCGGATAAGCATTTCCTTCGGCTGGTGATTATTATAGACACTTATAATACAGACCACTTCTCTTGTATTGGCGAATGCCCTGTTAATTTAATTTAGTTTGGTAAACCCTTGAATAAAATCAATTTTGTTTAGATTCTATAAGATTCTTGTGGAGTTTGCTACATTGCTCTCATCTGGTTTTCAAAGTAACATAGTTTTTTGGTCGGGTACCATAGGAAGCATGATTTTGCTAGTTTGTGAAGACATTTTAATGCATGTTCATTACTCTGCTTCACAATGAATTGGTGAATCGACCGCACATGGAATTTTCTCTTGTGAAGGGACTGTTTTGCAGGTCTACATCGAAATAGATGTGGTTCAAATTCAGTGATTAAGGGAGTGATTGTTTGAGTTTTTCATTCTCTGCTTCATCTCTGGAGAGAAAAATATCTTCCTCTTTTTTGTTATTAGAGAGAGCTAAGAATGAATTTTACTGAGAGTGTGAGTATGACTTGGTATTAAAATTGACAGTTAATGTGATAGTTTTCAAAGTAGTGACTAGATGTGGTGATTGATGACAGTGGAAAATAGGGAGTGAATGGTGATTGATGACAGTGGAAAATAGGGAGTGAATGGTGTATTTTACTATTTATGATATATGATTATACAATTATGATGACTTTGAGAATTATTCTGGTTAAAGTAGATGTAATTGAATTTGATGCCATTTAATCTTGTGCCATTTTACACAATCAGCCACATGTTGAATGAAAAAAAAAAAAGAAGCCAAAAACACTACATTTTCTTTTATACAACATTCCTAACGTTTGGATACCTTTTTTCTGTGCGTAAAAGGTAATTCCTGATTCAATTGCCGGACTAGAAAATCTCGAGGAGCTCAACCTTTCGTCAAATCTTTTGGAGTCGCTGCCCGATTCCATTGGGTTTCTGTTTAAGCTGAAAATCTTGGATGTCTCTCGAAACAAGCTGACTACCCTACCCGACAGTATTTCCCAATGCAGGTAAATCTTCAAACTACTTCCAAATCATTTACTAATACCATATTTTTACCATTTCATGTTCTTACCGAATTTAACCCATCTGATCTCCCAGGTTACTAGTCGAGCTGGACGCGAGTTTCAATAAACTCACCTACCTTCCAACAAACATTGGGTTCGAAATGAAAAACCTCAAACGGCTATCTATCAGCCTTAACAAGATCCGCTCACTGCCCACATCGATTGGCGAAATGAAATCTTTACGCCTTTTGGACGCTCGTTTTAATGAGCTCCACGGCCTCCCGAACTCGATAGGGAAACTGAACAATCTAGAGATTCTCAACCTCAGCAGCAACTTCAATGACCTGACTAAGCTTCCGGACAAAATAACCGACCTCACAAACCTCAAAGAACTTGACCTGAGCAACAATCAGATTCACGCTCTGCCCGACACTTTTGGTCAGCTCTCGAGTTTGACCAAACTCAATGTCGATCAGAATCCTCTCGTGGTGCCTCCAAAGGAGATCGTGGCTCAAGGGGTTGAAGCTATTAAGGCTTACATGGCTAAAAGATGGGTTGAGATACTGAGGGAGGAAGATGAGAAGAACAAGCAAGTTTTGCAGGATGAGGCAGAAGCTAGTTTGTTGACACGAAGCACTTCTCGGCTGAAATATTACGTTGCAAATGTTAGTGGGACCATCTCGGAATATTTGGGAGGTGGAGGTAAATCAGGTGTCGACTCTTATCTGAATCAACAGCTATAATTTCAGCCCCAATTTCCTTTTCTTTTTTTTTTCTTTTTTTTTTTTTCTGGATGATCACTAAAAGATCATTGGTAGTTCTTTTTTTCTGCAAATAAGCTGAACAACATAGGTAGTTTTCGTAATTCTCCACAATCAGACGGTTCATTGTCCGAATTTCTGACTTTATTGGTATTGTTTGTCTTTCTGTCGAAGATAGTTTTGCCGGGTGTGTAATAATTAACCGGGGTTTTGAGATTCTTAGAGATTATAAACATTCAATTTGTTTGTGTGTATATTTTATGACTTTCTGTATTATTTTCGCTTCCAGTTTGTTATTTAAGACATTAGGAATCTGTTGGTTTTGATGGCCTTGTAATTAGATTCTGTCTGTTTAATAATGTCAGTTGCAAGTGACGGTGATTGGTCCACTGCTAAGTCTAATCTTTCGTTCACTTTTTTCTCGTGTTCTCACTCAAACAGCTGTTAATACTTACTATTTGGTATATAGGGACAGTTATTTGGATTTTATGTTTCAATATTTCAAGTTTTCAACAGTAACAACACTTTGTACCCGTTGCTATGTGGGCACGTAGGTGACCTTTTTTCTAAGGCACAAGAATGGCTGTTAAGACTCACAAAAATCTTGTTACATTTAGGCTTACAATCATATTCTATGATTAAATAAAATAGATTATACGAAAACACGATAGTGAATACTTGGCAATAGTTTTTGCTTGTTCTTTAAAACTGCAATACTCCTGTTTCATTTTGCTAATTTTTGGCACAATAAAAAGTTCCCTCTACACCATTACAGAATGTCAAGACACACTTTTGATGAAACATGTACACTACAAAATATCTCTTTGCACTATTACAAAAACTTTTCAGGAACCTGCTAATTGTGAAAGGAGAATGAAGTTAACATAACTTAGCAGGTTCCCGAAAAAGTAAAAGGAGAAGGAAGTTAACATAACTTTAGCATTCCATAAATATACCAATGTGTCAAGATTTAAAAACTTTTCAATGAACTTGTAAAAATAAATTGAAGTAGAAGGATGTTTATACCTAACTCTACTGTCCTTTAAATATACCAATAAATTTTGAGGTAGTTATGTGATAATTATAATTCCATTTTATTATTCACAAGAGAGGTACTACTCAAATTATTGAAGGGAATTGGTATTTGGTATTTCTAACTTTTGCCAACCTTGCCATGTGCAACACTTTGAAGTCTTTGACACCATCCTATATATCATCAAAATCAAATATCAAAACAACTCATAATTACTCCACTCTCTTTTCTTCCTTCCCAAATGAACCAAATCTCAAGGACATCCAAAGCCACAACATGCCTTTTCTTCCTCTTCATTTCCTTGTACATTTTTATTCACTCAACGGTTGACCGGAAAACCGATTCAAAAGATTCATCGGCCTATTATTTGCCACTTCTTGTGGCGTTTCTCCTTGCGATTTTGATCTTTTTTGCCGTTATTCGGACAACGGTCGTGGCTTGGATAACGGTGTTGGTGCTCTTGGCCTTTGCCGGAAAGCGTCGGAGGGTTTTGGCCGAGGAGGGAAGCAAAATCACTTCGGATGTGGCATTTTACTTTGTTAAGGTTGTGGTCAATGGCAAGAGCCTTGTTGCATTTGGTTGTGTCACTATTTTAAGTGCAAGCATGATGGCTTGGTTAAGAATTATGGACGATCAAGTTTATGTATAGGTTGAGATTGAATACATAGACATTCTTTTTGGTTCGTCTTTATTATTATTATTATTATTATTATTATTATTATTATTATTATTATTATTATTATTATTATTTACTTTCCTTGAGACGATGTTAATCCTCCCGAATTTGTTTTAATAAACAAGAGAACTTCGTACAAATTGATTTTCAACCGAATAAAATATAATGAATCACAAATTTCTATTCCTTCCATTAATTTATTCGAGAATAATCGAAGTAGTATATCATTAAAATACATGTATATCTATGCTGGAGAATAATCTTTTTGTTTCTTGTATGGGAAGTAGTATATCATTAAATTACAATATATCTATGGTGGAAGATGTGTTTAAATTGTTTAATAAAAACTATATATAATCCTATCTCATTATAAGTTTAAATTAATGTATAATTATTTAAATTATATATAAATTTGTCATAGTTAATTATATATAAATTTGCAATCGTTTAAATTCTCTGTGTAAATAGAATGTTTTTGACAATGAGAAAACAATGAGAATCAAGCACACGATCAGAGTGCATTATAAGAGCATCTGCAGTGCAACACTGTTGAGTTAAAAATATATGTACCACGTACATATTTTAGACACCCTCTTCATTTTTTCCTCTACAATGGTCACTTTCTTCATTAATATTTTTATGATGTGGCATGACCACTTTCTCACCCCCTGTCTAGAGGTAGAAAGTGCCTATAACAGCGTGACTCATCAATATCGTGCAAAAATCTGAGGAAAACGTGGGAAAAGGGAAAAAAATTGCGCGGACAAAGAGGAAAACTTTCGCGGGCAATTGAGAGAGAAGCGACAGCTTGAGAAAATTCAAGGAAGTTACCTACAAAAATTCAATTTCTGTGAAATTCAGAAATATATCTCTCTTCTTCGTCATCTCGCGGGCAACCAATGAAGGAAAAAGCGACGGATTGATGCAAACGGTGGAGGAAGGTCATGGAGAGGGCCGCCGTCAATGAGCAAGGAAATATCACGTTCCTTCAGCCCTAAAGAAGGTTCAATTTTTATTTTTTTTCTTGTTTTTTTTTTCCCTTTATCCCTTAGCAATTTGTGTGATTAATGATGTGGATTTGAAATCCCAAACTTCAAAAATGGATTTTTATTTCTACGGGTGAAAAGGATTCACAAATCTATGGATTGTGTTGATTTGAAATTCCTGTGGAATGATGGGTCTTCAGAATTGTGATTGCAATTTTTTGATGCTAATTAAATTAGATTTTTGTTTCTAGACATGAATGGGCAGTGCATTGAAATGAGTTGAAGGAGCCAGCTTTATCTTCCTTAATGTAGCTCAATTTTATACTTTATTTTCGTCTACATGAGTAATATGATTTATTTTTGGTGAAATTTGATTATAGTTTTGCTCAGATTTTGATAGTCCATGTATTTTGTAAGAAGTTGGAATTATTTCAGAAAATTTGAAATTACTGATATATAAATGTTTGTTTAGTGAGCCCAAAAATTATTCCTACTAAAGCAGTATACTGATTAGAGACTCGGGTGTTGATTACATTCATTGTTCTTTGTTATATTTTTTTTTTTTTTGTGTGTAACTATTGTTAGCCAAAGGGGTATACTTATTGAAGATATTGAATCAATTAAAATAAAATATCATTTGAGGAATAATAAATGGCAAAAGGTTGAGCTTGATGATGGTATATTCATATGCTGCTTGTGCACAGTAAATATGGAGACAACGTTTAAATATCTATATCATGGTTTTTTTCTTAATTTTTATTTTTTTTGTTCCAGATTGCAGCAATGTCTATTGTCTGTTATCATGTGGTGCTTATTCCATTATTTTTCATCTTGTTTTGTTAGGATTCTAAGCTACTAGAAATTGGTAAGTTGTCATATTTTGATTCCATTTGTTGTAGTGATTCATTAGATTATGAATCTTGTACCTGCTCAATGTATATGTTTTGTTTTTCTTTTTGCAGACTTGTATCGAAAACGGAATCTCAGAACTATGAAAAGTATTCAAGTTCCCAACCAACTCTAAATTTTTCCAGGCCAACACAAATTGCAAGCCAATTCAACCCGCTAAACATTCAAATGCAACCTCTTTATCACTTTGATCCAATAACAGGAACATATATTTCTGTTAACCCACAACATACACCTGGATTCTCCTTTCAAAATCTTTTAAACTCTCCAATTGGTAATTCTGAAGTTGAAGCTGCGACGAGGGAACGAAAAAGAAAAACGAAAAGTACGAAAAATTCTAACAGCTCCCAAGCTTCACTTGCGAAAAAAGATTGGACCAAAGAGGAAGAAATTGCTTTAGCAAAACCATGGTTATATATTTCTGAGGATGCTGATATTGGTACCAATCAAAAGGGAGCAGCTATGTGGGATCGTATTTTGGAGGTGTGGAGAGAGAGCATGGGGACTGAATGCAATTTGGCTAGAAATAACAATAGCCTACAACTCAAATGGTCCAAAATACAAGGTGCTGTAAGCAAATTTCATTCCTTGTATGAGCGTCTAGAAAGACATCCACAAAGTGGTACAAACTCGGAGGATTTGGTAAGAATATTATGTTTTTCCTAAATTTCAATCTTCTATAATTAATAAAAATGAATATGGTGCTATAGGTTGAGGGAGAGATCAAAGTAGTTTGCTTTTTTTTATTTGGTTGTTTGGAGAATCTATGTCGGACTTTCTATGCTTTATCTTTTTTACCTTGAACATTAGGAATTTGTATAAATTTAGTAGTAACGTTTATGTTACTGATGGATCTCAATTTGTGAATTCCTTGTTTGGCTATTGATTTGGAGCATATAAGCTTAAGTTTGCTTGTTGTGGTGGCTTTTGTTGTTATTAATAGCCTTGATTGTATTAAACCTTTTTTGTGTTGAATTAATATTGCGTTAACGCAAAACATATATAATTCTTCTTAGAATTGCAGGGTCTATATGTTTTTGAATTGTATATTGATAATGATTTACATGAATTCACTTGGAATGGGTGGGCTTTTGTATGTTTGTGTGTTTGTCTTTCAACATGATTTTCATGTTTTTAAGATTTGAAAGTAACTTTGTTAGCTCCTATTGTTTCCATGATGCAACATTGTCAATTTGGTAAATTGTTGAGTAGTTCAATTACTTGGTTCTTTGAAATTGTGACTCGTAAATACTTGTGGTATATATTTTATCATGTTTTAATATTGTGCAAGAGATTTATTCTTTTTGTTTAGTTGTCATGAACTTTGTGGAAAAACCTTATTTTGAACTTGGTGGTGGATGTTAGTCTTATTTTTTTTTTTTTTCAAAACTGTTGATTTTTTAACTACAGTGATTGTTACAGACCTTATTTTGTTTTATTTCCCTTTAGTTACATGTTGTTAGCTTAAACTTGAACCAACTAAAATGAATGGTGACTTAGGTTGAAAGTTTTTTTTTTTTTTTTTTTTTTATTTAAACTAAAAGTTGTTTGCTTAATCTTGAATCGAAGTTGAAAAAACTAAATATATAGAATTGTTTATTTATTTTATGCAGATAATAAATGCTATGCGGTCATATGAGGATTTGCACGACACTCCTTTCAAATTTATCGATTGTTGGAAAATTTTGATTAAAAATCCCAAGTGGTGTTCTAAAGAACTTACAAAGGCTGCAACATCAACGAAACAAGTGGTTGACCACAAGATGAGCACAATGACAGGTGAAGCTATGGCAACAAATGGTGATGTTGATGTACCTGTATCTACCAATATTGATGGTATTGAGCGGCCAGAAGGAAGGAAAAAATGCAAAGAAAAAAAAAAAAAGCTAAATGAGGAAAAGGGAGTTGTGGATGCTTTAAACAATTTGCAATGCACTTTAGAGAAACAAATTAGCGTCAATCAAGCAAACTTGGAGATGAAACGAGAAAATGAAGAGAAGGAGTTGAAATTGCGGGAGGAAGTAATGAGAAAAGAACTTGAACTTAAAAAGAAAGCTCAAAAAATGAAGGAGGAAATGTATAGGATGAAGATGAGGGAACAAAGGAGACAAGAGCAAGATCGGCTTATGAACCAAGATCTTAGCAAACTTTCACCAACTCGTCGAGCATATTACGAGCTTAGGAAGAAAGAGATCTTGAAAGAGATGGAAAATGAATTTCCTCACGGGTCTAATATGGTATGTTGTATTATTTGGCTTGACATTATTTGGTGTCTCTTAAACTATATATATTACTACATTGATCTTTATATATATATATATATATATATATATATATATATATATATATATATATATATATATATATATATATATATATATATATATATATATATATATATATATATATATATATATATATATATATATATATATATATATATATATATATATATATATATATATATATATATATATATATATATATATATATATATATATATATATATATATATATATATATATATATATATATATATATATATATATATATATATATATATATATATATATATATATATATATATATATATATATATATATATATATATATATATATATATATATATATATATATATATATATATATATATATATATATATATATATTTCCAGGACTTATGATGACCATATCACTTGGAGTTTGGGATGACTTTGTTTAAAACCTTGCAGTCAGCT